TAAAAGATCACTCAGGGCCTGGAGGGAAATGCCCAGAGAGCCTTGTACCCTAGAATGCCAAGGGTCTAGGATGAGGAAGGCTTCATTTTTCCCTTTTCTTTCTTTTTTTTTTTAAGATTTTATTTATTTATTTATTTATTTATTTATTTATTTATTTATTTATTTGAGAGAGAGCATGAATAAGGAGGGGAGAGAGAAACAGGATCCCCACAGGGCAGGGAGCCCGACTTGGAGTTTGATCCCAGGACTCGAACCATGACCTGAGCCGAAGGCAGACACCTAACCTACTGAGCCACCCAGGTGCACCTTTCCTTTACTTTTCATGGACAACCACATGCCACATCCCTTAGAAGAAGAAACAAGGATGCTGTGCTTTCCTCTTGGCAAAACCCTGACTCCCTGGTGACTGACCTAAGATGTCGGAAGAGCCTAGTTTTTCCCTCCATGAGTGAAACTAGCCAAAATAGTGAGTGCTGACCTCTCACCTGGTGGGAGCCGAAGAGACAGTGGGGCCAGCAACCCACCAGCATCCCAGACCAGCTGGCACATCCTCTACTGCAAGAGTGACAGAAACAACATCCGCCCCACAGAATGTTCTGTAGAGCGAGTACCCTATATAAGCAAAAGCAGAAGAAATGTCTTCTCTTTCTTTTCCAAAAGGCACATGATAATAAAGAACAGAGTGGAGTAAGGTGTCAAGTGGATAAAACAAAATAATAATAAGTCACAACGTAATTGAGCACATACTGTGTGTGAGACCCTTTGTGGAGGGCTTTGCCAGTACGATCTTATTTAATCCTCACAATGATGCTACAAGGTAGGACTTCTCATCACCCTCATTTCACAGATACAGAAGCACTGACAATTTGCAGAAGCACTAAGTGGCAGAGGCAGGACACAGACCGGGTCTCACCTGGCTCAGTGTCCACAGACAAGGAAAACCAAAGTCAAAATGCTGGATTGGCTTCTGGGTCCTGCCTCTCTCCTTGCCTGTGACTTCAGGTAAGTCTTTGGAGGAAACAGAGGAAGCTGACAGGTCCCTTCCTGAGTTGGGTCCCAAGAGCAGTGCCATGAGCAGGGTGGTGCTCACACGCACAGATTTGGGGATATAGGGGGGAGGCTCAGAATGCAGAGGCCACGAAGCTTGGGAGAACCAGCAAGACGTCTGAGTCGTTTCCAGCTCCATTTCTTTCATTACTAACCCAGCTCTGGGACCTTTCTCTAAAAGGTCATGCTTGTGAAATGTGGGTGGTGGGAAAATGGAGAAGAGACTGGATGGCCACACACGCACCTTCCATCTCCAAGTTTTTGCTGTGCACTAGAGAACGTCTACAGAACCACCCAACTCTCCAAACAGATGTCAAAGGCACTATGTTCTCAGGAATCTTTGCAAATAACACTCGATTTTGCCAAGATAGAAACAGCCACAAGAATACACTTCACTTTGCCAGAAAAAAAATAGCTCCAAGAATAATTCATGCATGTAATGTTCTTGTCTTCTATGCCCTATGTAACTACGAATTAATTCTCAGAAGGACACAATGAGAGATTACAATGGCAACACCAAAATGACAAGCCTCCTTTTTCCAAGAAAAAGAATGACTACCTCTTCCTATAAAGGATCTCACTACAATTGTCTTGGATCCATACCAGACTCATAGGCATTTGTAATTGGAAGAACATGTGAAGGTCAACTGATTTGACTCTCCATCTCCGAGGGTACCTAAGGAGTGTTGAAATACCTTAAGGACCACTCGGCGCTGCCTACTTGGACACCTATGATCTTTTCCAAATTCTTTCTCACGCTTTCTACAGCTTGGATGCTTCCTCTACACCTTGTGGCCATACAGACCCAACCCCCCTCCACATCATTCCTTCAAAAATGCCGCCCCCTGAGGCTTCCTTTCTGCAAGAGTTGTCAATCATTCTGTACTTACAAAAACAATCTGACCACTGAGGTGCTGCCGTGTTTGTTGTTGTACTTGTTTCTTTTTTTAAAAAAAGACAGATTTATTTGATCTACAATTATTCCAAAATGATTACTACTCCAAATAACCCAAACTGTGCTTTTTTTCAACCTATATTATCCAACACTGAAAGCTGATTATAATCAACTTGCTTTCATAAAAAGAAGGAAAAAAAAAGATTTTAGAAGAATCCACATGGCTAAAAGGACAGCCAGAAAGCATTCCATGTTCCCAAATAAACAAGGGAAAACCATGGATACACCGCTTCTCCACTACTGCCCATTCCCCACTCGAATCTAAATGACCCCCTTACAAATCACAGATGCATAAAAATGATCCAGCCACAACCTCACAGTTTACAATGTGGAAACTGAGACCCAGAGATCCCATCTCTTTCTCCTTGGCATCCTCTAATGTTTATCAATCCTCTGTACTGTACTGGGTTAGACACTGGGGATGCCAAGGTAGTGAGGCCTTGCCCTCTCAGGTCTCTGAGCAGGGACTCACACACAACAATACAATTAAGGGATTTATTTAAGATTTTATTTTATTTATTTGAGAGAGAGCACATGTGAGAGAGAGCACAAGCAGAGGGGAGAGGGAGAAGCAGGCTCCTAGCTCAGCAAGGAGCCTAACATGGGGCTTGATCTCAGGACCCTGGGATCATGGCCTGAGCTGAAGGCAGATGCTTAACCGACTGAGCCACACAGGTGCCCCCCAATTAAGGGATTTATTTTATTTTATTTAAGATTTTATTTATTTACTCATGAGAGACACAGAGAGGCAGAGACATAGGCAGACAGAGAAGCAGGCCATGCAGGGAGTCCGATGTGGGACTCGATCCCGAGACTCCAGGATCATGTCCTGGGCTGAAGGCAGATGCTTAACCGCTCAGCCACCCAGGCATCTCAAGGTTATTTAAATAGGTAAAAGCAGGGGCGCCTGGGTGGCTCAGTTTGTTGAGCCTCCAACTCTTGATTTCAACTCAGGTCATGATCTCAGGGTCGTGTGAAATCAAGCCCTGTGTAGGGCTCCATGCACTGAGTGTAGAGCCTGCTTAAGATTCTCTCTCTCCCTCTCCCTCTGCCCCTCCCCACACTTGTGCATGGATGGGCTCTCTCTCTCTCTCGCTCTCTCTCTCTCTTTTTCTCTCAAAATAAAATATGTGGAAGCATATTGTTGGGGAAGCTTAATGATAAGCATTTGAAGCTTTGTACAAGGAACTTGAAAGACAAAAAGCTATTTCCTTCCTCTGTGCCTTGGCTTAACCTGTCCCTCCAAATCAAACACCTGCCTCCTCTCTTTGTTTGGCCAACCCAATCCTTTAAGATTCAGCTCAAGTGCCCCCCCACAACGTTTTCTTCCCAACTCCCCCTTTAACGCTCCCACAATATCTCGTACAAATCACACTCACTGTACTTAGCATCACGTACTGCATCTATCTTTCTTGTGTTGATCTTCTCTGTTAGATTTTAGGTTGCAGGAGATTGGGACCTGAGTGTTATTCAGCTCTATATGTCTGTCTCATTCAGCTGGTGCATACTGGGGTATGATGAATGAACAAATAAACATCTCAGCAGACTTAAGGGTTAACAGGTGTTTGTCATACACAGAAGGAAAAAAGAAGGATGCTAGGCTGAGGAAGCCTGATGCAGAGGCCCAGGGCTCTGAGGGTGTGGTGTGCTTGCAGAGCTGTGCAGAGCTCTCATGGTGGGGGTGTTCAGGGTGCCAGAGAGGGGGATGGGAAGAGTGGCTGAGGTCGGGGCTTGGGGATTAAGTGAGGGTCGAGGTGAAAAGCCACGTAAGCCACCCTGAAGTGTATAAGTGTATAGACATTATCTTAAAGTTGGGCGTGGGGTGGGGGGAGGGCAAAAGTCTGTACAAGGAAGTAACATGATCCAATTAGTTTTTAAGGTCACATAATTGGCCAAAGGAGGAAGTACTACATTGAGTACTGGCCACCAAGGCAGGAACCTACTGTATGGTGCAGGACACAGGGAAGGTCCATATCAGGGTGCTGTGTCCCAAGAGCTTGGGGTGAGCCCCAAGGATGGAAGTAAAGTGTGGGTCCAGGTTTGAGACTTTAGGTGGAACCCAAAGGATTTGATTAGTAACCTGAGTATGGGAGAGGGGGGAGAAGCATCAACCATGATGCCAGCGTTTCTAACCTGGAACACCAGGGTGACACACAGTCAACAGAGAAAGGACCATGAGAAGAACAACAGTTTTGGAGGAAAAGAGTATGAGATCATTTTCAGAAAGATTCCTATGATAATCCTTCCAGATGGTTTCTATAGGTCAGAGCTACCTTAACTAAAAAAAGAGATAGATGAAGTGCAAGAAATCAGTCATGAAAAACCTAAAGAGTATAAGACGAACGAATAGTTTAACCCTCACAGAGACAGATGGTGTGATCCTGATGATGTGAGGGTGAAGGAAACAATTTCAGACAAGAAATTTTCTCTGGTTCTTAGAACTACTCATCATTTCTCAACCCATTAAATTGGCAGGTGTATACAACATGATGTCTAGGCCATCAGACTCCATACCTTTCTGGTTTTCTGGACCCACCTGAATCATCTTCATGGCTTTTTAAATGATTATTACAAAAAAAAAAAAGATTATTACCAGCTGACGAATGGCTTCCCACCAGTTAGTGAGTCCTAGTCACCAGGGAGAATTCAGTTTACTGTAATTAAGTAGCCCCGCTCAGGCATTTTACTGACTAATGACCTCATTTTTTACTCATCTTTTCAAAATGCTAGAAGGTCTAGCTATTGCTGGGAAAAGCGCATGGACACACTCATGAACAAAACCCTTCCGCAGCAAAATTAATCCATCTTTTAATCTAGCGACATTCCTCTTGCCCGTATTTCATAGCAAAAGCTCCGAAGAGCAAGCCACGCACAGAACCTTTATAGAAACAACTGCTCCACTTACAGAAACCGCAAAAGGACTTTCCTGGCCCGTGCAGTTATTCTACGTGCACAGAGATTGTGCTTGGTGGAAAAGAAAATGAAACTGCCAGCTTACCCTCTTCCTCAAGTTGTAGGTCAGAATGAGGTTCCTGGAGAAGGAGTGAGAAAAGGCCGTGTAGAATTCCAGCACTTTCTGCAGGGCGTCCCGTTTGATCACATGCAGGTCGCAGTAGGTCAGGGCCCTCACGTTGGCACAGGATTGGGCAAGGGTGGCTTCCTTCCAGAACACATCTCCAAATACGTCTCCTTTCCCTAGGGAGAGAAAGTGCTGGTGAAGAGAGTGCCAGCCAGACGGTGTCTGGCCACCCAGGTTGGCTTCCCTGTCTCCCAGAATTGCTGTGCCTTTGACATCCTGCAACGTGGGCTCAGAAAAGGAAAAAACAAAACCCCCCAAAAAATTAAAAACAGAAAACAGGTTCTATTTTGAACCTTAACAACATGTGATTCAAGAAACTTTAAGATACCGTAGAATACAACGTCGAAATTTAACCAATGACTTTGGGGTCATGGACGTCACCTCCTGAACATCCTATCCAAAGTGGGAACCCTCTGTTATTCTTTGTAGCCCCCCCATTTTCCCCAAATGCCAATCATGACCTATAATCACATTCTTTGTTTCCTTGTTTGTTGTGTAACTCCCAGCCTGAGAGCTCTGTCCACGTCACACAGTGTCTGGAGCCTAGTAGGAATTCTGTAAGTGCAGGCAAAAGAGAAGCAAGGAAGGAGGGCAAACTGTGGATCTCTATTAAAGGGACTGGCTGAGGGGTGAATAGTATGGAGAAGGTGTGGACTCTCCATCAGGAGCTGAAGATCAAGAGAGGCCTCTTCTGTTTCGGATGATCTGCATGGAAAAAGGCATGGAGGGGTGGAGTTCATTACCTTCCATACTCTTTCCACTGCCCTAAGGTTTATGTTTGTATGGTGCCTCACTCCTCCCCCTCACCCCATTCCTCCTTCCATGCTCCTCACCCCTGCCAAAGGTCCTCCTTGTGGTATAAAAAAACATGGGCCCCCTACACATGGCAGGGGGGCCCTACACATCTCCAAGCTTCTCTATACATGTAATAAGCCAATTGAGTAACATAATCATATCCTGAGTCAAAATTCTATCAATCTCCTCTAAATATCTGCTTTTCAAATCTAGGGATATTCCCCCTATCTTTCCCCGAGTCCAACATTTTAACATATGTCTAATGCAAAGCCTAATTCATTCCTGGCACAGCCTCTGGTTATAAATAGCTTGAAACGTTGTTTATCTTGCCTCTAAATTTTCAGCACAGATAAACACAAATCTGAATCCATAGGGAGCCGGAGGAGAGGAGTATGCAGTGAGCAATGAACAATGCTACAAAGAGTGGACAGTAACCCTCATAACCCTCAGGAGAGTCGTCGGCCCCTGCATCCAGACCAGCTGCACGCCACTGCAGGAACCCAGGTGCCCCTGACTCAGTAGGATGAACAGGGCAGGTGTTTTCCTCATTCAGGCTAAGGAGGCGATTAGACATCCAAGCACCTGGACAGAACTTGATCTTTTCTCAAAAAAAGAACCCATTCTAAGTATGCGAGTAATCCACGGGCATAGCCTTCTCCAAGCACCTTCACAGGATGAGCTAGAAACCAAGTGTACTATGGACACATTACTCCACAGTTTCCCATGTGGTTATGAGGTAATTAGTATACAGTTCTGATTTATGAAGATAGTTTTATTGACTCAGTATGAGCAAGATGCATGCGTAGAGGGGAGGGGGCTTTTAGATAAAAAGGCCTTTAAAACTATGCTAGTTAAATTCCCTTCCCAGGTGTTTTTCAATCATCTGCACTAGGAGTGGGTTACTTTAGGGCTGGGGCCACTGGATGGGAGTACTTCTCTCTGTGGGATGTTACCAGCTTCCACGGAGATGGGCTCATTCAACGTGTGCTCCCTGGTACTGAGTTCTAACCAGCAAGGCTTGGCCATTCATTCATACATAGCAAGCATTCCATAACTTCCCTACACTGCACTGCAATGCCTCCCATGCCTTTCATTTTTATGTGATCTAGAAAAAGCTCTTCCGACGCATAGAATGGTAGATAGTCAAGAGGAATCAAGAGGCAAAGCCTAGTTACCTTCCCCTTGGATCTGGACTCATCTAGTACCTTCTCTGGAGTTTGGCAGATGAGATGTTCTGAGATTTTGAAGCAAGACCATAAAAAATCTTGCAGTTCCAGCATGGGTCTCTTGGAACACTTACCGTTAAGATGCTCCTTCTTTTTTTTTTTTTTTAAGATTTTATTTACTTATTCATGAGAAAGAGAGAGGCAGAGACAGAAGCAGGCTCCCTGCAGGGAGCCTGACATGGGACTCGATTCCAGGTCCCTAGGATCATGCCCTGGGCTAAAGGGCAGCACTAAACCGCTGAGCCACCCAGGCTATCCTAGGATGCTCCTTCTTAGAATCCAACTACCATCCTTTGAGAAGAACAAGCCATACCAAAGGTCATAGACCAGTGCTCTGGTGGGCAGCCCAGCTGAACTCTTGGCTGACAGCCAGCCTCTGCTAGTCATTACGTGAGTGATCATGGCCAGTAGGGCACCCCAGTCAAGCCTTCAAATGCCTGCAGCCCTAGCCAATGCCGGTGTGCCAGCCACATGTGGAAAGCCCAAGTCTGAAGCAACCAACTGAGCTAAACAACCCATGGAATGGTGAGGAACAATAATAAATTTCTTAGGCCACTAAATTTAGGGGAGGTGTATTTTTTTTAATTTTTTTTTTTTATTTTATGATAGTCACACAGAGAGAGAGAGAGAGGCAGAGACATAGGCAGAGGGAGAAGCAGGCTCCATGCACCGGGAGCCCGACGTGGGATTCGATCCGGGGTCTCCAGAATTGCGCCCTGGGCCAAAGGCAGGCGCCAAACCGCTGCGCCACCCAGGGATCCCCTAGGGGAGGTGTATTATGCAGAAATAAATAACCAGAACACACAGAATCATGGAACTCTGGGCTGAGAAGCCCATGAGAAGTTACTTAATAACTTATCTGATATTCCAGTAGAACATCACAAATTATCCCAGCTCTGAGCTGGCACCCCACTTCTGGCCCTGAAAGAATGGGACAAGGAAGAGCAATGAGTGGCTCTAATGGGAGCAGATTATCCTGAGTGTTTTGAATATCAGTGATAAAATGTAGAAATTACAAATCCCGTGGTCTCCTATTGGGATGAAATATAGTCTAACCAAACCACAACTACTAAGAGTGCAAGACCATGGATAATCCTGCCTGATTCTCCTCAAGGTTAGAGCTGACCCTTGAACAACACAGGTTTGAATTATGAGCATCCGTGTGAACGTGGATTTTTTTTTTTATAAATACGGTACACCACTATAAAGGTATTTTCTCTTCCTTATGATTTTCTTAATATTTTCTTTTCTTTAGCTTACTTTATTGTAAGACTGTAGTATATAATACACAAAACATACAAAATTCATGTTAATTTATTATTTATTTTGTCAGTAAGTCTTCTGGTCAACAGTAGGCATTAGTAGTTAAGTGCTGGGGGAGTCAAAAGTTATATGTGGATTTTCCACTGCACAGAGGGTCAGCGCCCCTAATTCTACATTCTTCAAGGGTCAATTCTCCTTCATTTAAACAAAACCTAATGAATAAGCATTATACTTCTCAAACAAATTTGGAGCCATTTTTTTCCCATCTATAAAGGAACCCAGAAAATAAAATTTCCTAATGTGTACTTAACATACGAATTTATCTGTAGAAATTCAGCTTATAAACAACTCTTCAGGGGCATACCCATTGCATAAAACAAAGAACAACCATATTATAGTCGCAACATACCATGAAACTAATAAGTGCATCTTTAGAAATGACAACATGCCCAGTGTAAAAAGTCTTCCACTCAAAGATTTTGACAGAAACAATAAATAGAGAGTACTTCCTACTACACAAAGTATTTCACGGTAAGATAATCATGATTAATCTGTAGGGTCCAGGAAGTCTCAGTGTTGTTATAACCTGGATTTGATTTTCAACCCAAATTGAAAACCATACAATCTTTCTTCCTGTCAAGGCACCATTTTTGGTATAAACGATCTGTTAGTGAGACTTAAGAATGTGGTGTCGGAGGGCCTGTCAGATGCAAAACAAACCCAGGACTATTCTGGCAAACGAAGAATGTATTTATGACCCCAATAACTTGGGGAAACTGTCAGAGGGGAGGATACAGAGCATTTGGCAGGCTGCTTCTAAGTTACACACAGCTCTGGGAATAATGACTTCCCAGGTCGGGATGAGGAATCAGGGGCCAGGACAAGCCCTACACCCACATTTATCCCTTGTTCCCTCACATGAGATGATCATTCACTGAAGAACAAAAGTTACCCCAATGCACTTGGCAATCAAATGACTTGAGGCAATCAGCTTATTGATTTATTTATTACCCTGAGGTGCTAGGTGCAGAATGTTAAAACCCAACGTTTCAAGTTTCTAAAATACATTCTAAGTGGATGTTCTGAGGTGGGAAAAAGAAAAAAAGAATGAAAAGGGGAAGTATGGAACCGCAGTCTAATTAAAACTGCAAGCAAACATCCCCGTGATAATTAATCCCCCTCCCTCCTCCCCCTCCACTTGAATGCAGCTATCTTTACTGCACCTCCACTTCTGCAGTGGACATAAACAACCCCATGGGGTACAGACGTGGGGCTGAAGAACGTTCACAAAGCATAGGTGGGAGGTGGGACTCAGGGCTGAGGTCGCCCAGGGAGAGGGAGGACAGATCTCCGCAAGGAGCACAGGAGAAAACCAAGGCCCTGTGGATAATTCAATTTAACAACAGGCAGAGGCTGGATTACCCACATGAGGAGGCTTGAGGGGGTGTGGAAGCTGGGAGGGGTCATAAGGGCAAACTCTTGAGGTGCTGGAACTGGGTCTCTGGGAGGATCAAACAGCCTACCCGAATGTTAAGAAGTCACAGGGAAGTGATTCTGCTCTGAACTGGAACCCGTCAGAAAAGGCCTTGTGTATCCACAGGCCCTGAGTGAGTTTGGCAGGCCTGAGGGGTCAGAGCAAAACAGAAATCTCCAGCAGCTTCTCTTCACTATTCCCTACTGTGTGCTCCTGTAAGGACCGCTCACAGTGGTGACCTGTATTAGCAAAACATAATCCTGCCGTGTAAGTTACTATCGGCTCCTGAAGTCACCATTTCCAGACCCACACCAATTCGAAAAGAACCCACTTAGTCACTCATGCAACTTTCGGCAGG